TACTGGGTATGTGGGTGTAGAAGTCGACCCTTGTATAAGTCGACCCTCTATTTTTGATTACGACATAGCGAATTTCTGGTATGTTGGGTATATTAGTCGTGCTCTAGAAAAAACCAAATATGAAAATTTCTAAAATTAAAAAACACAAAAAAGTATTAAATCCATAAAATTGTTCCAAATTAAAAGTATTTCCCATCAAGAATTCTTACAAAAATGGGACATTTTCGCCATCAGATGAGTCCGTAAGGTGTCAAATAATATTAAGACGCGTAGCAAAAGTTGGATTCAAATGTTGTTATAAAATCTTTTCAAAAATTTAGAATTTCGAATTCTTTGAAGGGATGTAAAGACGACTTTTTGCACGACGCAGCAGATGAGGATGATGTAAAATTTATTGCAGTGTAGTGTCTGTATAACGACACCGCGAACTTTATAGTATCCAACACATATGATGTTCTGGAATCGTTAAATTTGTAGCCTTATGGTAGGTTTTTCATTGGGTTATATATTTTCTTAAATACTCTTGAATAAATTATCTTAACTTTTCATATCTCTAATTTTTTTTTCTTGAAGGTAATTACAAGTATTGTTCCTGAAAAAAAATTAACATTTAAAACATGCATAGTATTAAATTAAATTCAAAACTTTACTGAAATAAAAATGAAAAACTCAAACATTCACCCAGCAAAATAACTTTAGTTACTCCAGTGGACAAAGTAACCCTGGATGACGGTAACAAATATTTAATTTTTTCCGCAATTTGATAAATACAAAGCATTTTATCTTCGTTATTTAAACCATTTTACTTCAGATTCTGGGAATCATGATAAAATATGTTTCAACACACATAATATTAAATTCAATTCAAACCTTTACTGAAATAAATATGAAAGACTCAAACATTCACCCAGCAAAATAACTTTAGTTACTCCAGTGGACAAAGTAAGCCAGGATGACGGTAACAAATATTTAATTTTTTCCGCAATTTGATAAATACAAAGTATTTGATCTACGTTATTCAAACCATTTTACTTCAGATTCTGTGAATCATGATAAAACATGTTTTATCATACATAGTATTAAATTCAATTCAAACCTTTACTGAAATAAATATGAAAGACTCAAACATTCATCCAGCAAAATAACTTTAGTTACTCCAGTGGACAAAGTAACCCAGGATGACGGTAACAAATATTTAATTTTTTCCGAAATTTGATAAATACAAAGTATTTGATCGACGTTATTCAAACCATTTTACTTCAGATTCTGTGAATCAAGATAAAACATGTTTTATCATACATAATATTAAATTCAATTCAAACCTTTACTGAAATAAGTATGACAGATTCAAACTAAACAGGGCTGTGATAATCAACTTCCGAAATAGCAGATATATAAAATTGTCTTCAATTTCATAAATAAAAACACAAAGTATTTGATACGTTATTCATACCATTTTACTTCAGATTCTGAAAATCATGCCCAAACATGTTTATTCCCTTTCTATTTTGTATCAAGGATCAATAAACGCGAAGGACAGGAAAACAACATTTCTATAATTCAAACAGATATATTTGAATTTAGTTACCAAGACAAGCAAGAGAATAAATGTCGCTAGGGAATAAATTTTTTCACCCTTGAAAACACTTTAAAAATGGTACAAAATCTTTTTAGTTCCTTTCACTTGGTTCTATGCTTTCGGTTATTGGTAAAATCTGACACGTTTTTTGAATTTACCTAAATCTTCAATGCTTCTATATTTTATTCAGTGTAATGTTATTTTGATGTCTAGCTTCTCGCTGTAGACACAATGGTAAAAGAAATGCTGCTTGTTTAGTTTTATTTTGCATAAGTGAAGAGATAGACTTTTTTTGGAAGTTCTTCTTAAATGATCCGAACGACTGTTTTTATTTTTTAGAAACAAATTCAATTCTCAATTGACTATAGTTTTTTAATTTAAAAAAATGTTACACAATATAAAATTAACAAATTTTAAGACAGTAGAATTATTAATCCTTTTTTTTAAAGGTATTCTAAACAAATGGTTTTACTTTATTGAATTTTAAAGAAGAGCTTATAAAAGAAATAGCTATTTGCCTTTTATTTTTTAAGCAGATCAAATACACAAATCTGTTAGTTTAAAATTGATTTGATTTAAAACAAATTAGTTTTTTTGAATTATTTATTTTTAATCAATTTATTGATTAAAAAAAGTTATTTACATTCTTTCACTTACAAGAACAAAATTATGCAATGATATATTTGCATTTCATACCATTATATTTAAAAACACTACCTCAAGTAATAATAATTTAACCCTTTAGCAATAACTTGATTATTCATATACCATAAATAAAATATTCATTGTCAGGGGTTGGTTCATCTGAAGCGAGTTCTGCTCAGATCCGGCTGGCCAACACACAGCATCTGGACCTGATGCGGTCCATCATGTTAATATGAGAGTTCCGCTGGATTGATTTACATTTCTATTGGAACAAATTGTTTTCAAGTATCAGTTTTTCAAACAAAACTATATGTATCTGTACATTTGTGTGTTGAAAGCATTTAGCATTTGATAGGACTTGATCAAAGTGTGGAAAGTACAAATGCCTCAAATACATCTCAGTTGTTTATGAATGGTGTGGATATACAGGCTGTACTAGGTGCGGAACTAGCCAATCAGCCAGCCATCACTATCCTATGATTTTGTTTTATTTTATAACCGCCGTTGAACAACCAACACAATTTTTGGCTTTACAGCAACTAATGTTCAACTCCGTAGCCTTGAAATTTTGAACCCAATCCAGAATATAAAGAAACTCCTGGATCAAGTATTGCCAGAAATTTCTCTTCGTGGAGGACTTTTTGATAAAACTAACCCGCATTTGCGTTACATGGAGAAGAAAATCATGAAAACCTCCCAAGATTAGCCTGACGGTAAGGGAACTCTAACTAATGATCCATCTACCTCTGAGGATATTTTACGTCAGCACTGTGGTTGGTGTGAACCGAGTGAGGAATTCGTATCTAACAGCTATCGCTGGGATTCGAACCCGAATCACCTCATTGGGGTGCAAGTGCTCTATCTCCTGAGCCACAACGGCTCTATTTCGATCACGTTCTATTAATTGAGGTGTTCGTTGTTGCCTTGAGATGTAACGAAAAACAAATTTAAAGGCTTAATTTCAAACATCCCTTCCAGCCGTTCGCCGTCCTATGTGTTCTGTATTGGGGAAAACTCTTGTATACTCCTGAATGAAGTATTGGAGAAAAATTTGCGTTCGTGGGGCACTTTTTGATGGAACTAATCTACATTTGCGTTACATGGTGAGAAAAATATACGAGAGAAATCCGCGAAACCTCTCACGGTTAGCCTCATGGAAGGGGAACTTCTAACCAATGATCTGTCTACCACTGAGGATATTTTTTGTCAGCACTGTGGTCGGGATGAACCGGCAGTGGATTTCGTATCAATCAACTATCGTTGGGATTTGAACCCGAGTTACCTTATTAAGAGGTAAGCGCTCTATTCCCTGAGCTACCACGGCTCATTTTAGACGATATAATAACAAATTTGGTCGCCTATATGAGGGCTTTATTCATTACATGACATGTTATTCTGATTTTATTCATGACATGTTACCAAAACATGAGGATCATCGTAACACTAATCGTTATCAAAATAGCCCATAAAGTTGGTCAGCTCTGACTCTGTTGATTTTTTTCACCTATGTGAACTAAAACTAGGCTGGTTCGTGTGATCTGAATAACCATTCCAATTTATTTTGCTGAACTCTAGTTAAGTTATTGCAGTTGGAGAAATGTATCATAATTAAAATTTTATTATAAATTTCATTAAATTTCAGCTCTTTAACAGTAGTATGCCTTAAGAGTGTTTTTTACTTAATTGTGAAGTGTCTGATTAGCTTAAAGAAGAATTTAACAGCATTGAAACCTCTCGCAAAGTAAAGAAAAACTTTAGCGATAGGCGTGAGTTTTTACATGCATTATTATAAATCAAAACTTATGCCAAACACAAACAAATAAAATTATCTAGAACATGTCGGGGTTTTGTTATCCGTATTTATCTCCAGCCAAATTTTAAGAGGGGTGTCAAATTTTAGAAGAACTTTCCTCTACTACAATAAAAAATTTGCTAAAATTAGCTTTCAAATTTTGCACAACTTACAATCATTAATGTGAGCCGACCGGCCTGTGTAGGGGACAGGGAACTGTCCTTGCATCAGAAAGATTCTGGGTTCGAATCCCAGGCAAAGCATGGATGTTCTTTCCTTCCCTGTACTATCTGTCGCTACTATGGGAGCAATGTTGGCCCACCTAATATGGTGCCCCTGAAAGAGAGGTCAACAAAATCGCCCTGTAAATGCCTGAATTGACGGATGTTAACACAGGTAGGCATTAGGAAAAAAAAACATTCATTAATGTTTGCTAGTGTATTTGCCAAATAAATGCATTTAAATGCACTATTTTTTTCCCAAATATTGCTTTTGCATTGGAAAACAGAAAAAGTCTTGAAAAACTCCAACTAAAAGATGTGTTTTTTTAGTCATTTTATAACTTGAAAGTTTAAGTTCTTGTTAAGAAATAAGAATAATACAACTTTCGGTAACAAAATTCTTTAACAAAATAAATTGTAAACTGTAAAAAACTCGAGGGTTTATTTTAGCATTTTACTTATTAAATTTAAAATTGTATTCATTTTAACGTTTACGTAAAGTTTTTTTTAAAACTTTAAAGTTGTTTTAAGCTTTTACTACTAAAAACTACCGCTTTAAAACTTAAAAGTCTATTTCTTACTATATCTTTAAAACATACTGTCTAAGCTTCCTATACTATAAGAAATCTAAAATGCAGTTTTAGATAGAACTTTATAAATTTTTAAGATAGAACATTATCGTCCTGAGTTTGAACTCGTCGATATAAGCCTTGTCACTTCACAAAACTAATAGTTTAAAAGAAAAACTTTCTTTTACTTTTAGAAGAAAACGAACTAAAATGCTTAAGAAATAGTTTCCCACTAAGCTTCTTAGAAAAAGAACCACCTCCACCTTACGATTCAACAGCTGGAAAATCTCACATTGACATTGACTCTACAATTGAATTTAACAGAAGGTCTGTGAACAGTGTTACAAGTATTTGTTCTGAAACAGATTCAGTTGCAGGAATACCTTTGCCACTATTGGTAAGTATCAAAAATTTGATAGATATCTTTTTATTTTAATTTTTTAAGAGTATGGAACCCCCAGGGGCACACTCTTGTGTGACGGGCATGGCGCACCCGGGGCCCCGAGCTGGACCTGAGCATTTTTCTATTTCTCTCTTGCGACGGTCCTGTTTCGATTTTCCGACCTTTTATCAAATGTTTATATTGACCTAGTGGACGAATTTTATTTCATTCAAAAACACTGTTTATCAGTTAGAGATTATATATCTTCTAATTTTTGTTTGTTTTCTACTGGTTTTGTCGGGTTTCCTGATTTATGTTTCACCTATTTATTTTAAATAACCAATCTTTCCCTAAAGCATGCAGACTAACAACGCACAGTCAGCCAGCGTTCAAGGTTTTGTGGCCAAAATTAATATTTCGATAAAATTTGTTTCAAAATTTGGGGGTTTTTATGTGCAGGTAAATTGAATTCATAGTTGAAGTTTTGAAATACACTAAAAATACAAGGCAAAAAAACAAAATGGCGGCTGAAATAGGGCGAGCAGAAATTTAAAAAAAATATAGTACGCTTAAATAATTAAGTATAGCAATGAAAATATAATAATTTTCGTAATTTTATATTAAAAATGAAAAGCAAATTATATTTCCGAAGTAATATCACAAAATAACGCTAATTAATTACAAAATAACGCGAAAACATGAAAAAACACATAATTTTTGTTTTTCGATATATTTAGTCCAGCTTTGCAATATGGGCAAAATGGGGCAGGTTTTTTCGAAAGAAGAAGCATCAAAGAAGACAACAAAAAAAAGTTTAGCTAATTACCTCGTGGAACTTTTTGGAGATAAGTTTCGAAAGTGAGTCAAATATTGTAAAATGTCAAAGTCCCGCAGTGGACTGATCGTTAAGACACGGTTCCCAGCAGATCACCGAAGTCAAGCATCACTGGCTACGGTCAGTGTGCGGGTGGGTGACCACTTGGATCAGTCTGCGTAGGGACCGAGGGTGTGCGGTATTGGTCCTCGTTAAACTGTGCTACCGTAAAGTGCTCGACTTCGC